GTATTGGTTTGATTAAAATTCCAACCTGTCTCTTGTCTGGCTTCTTTACAGCAGAGAGTGGTTCTCATGAGGGGTCCCCGGGGGCAGCTGCGCCCGCATCATCCGGGGACGTGTCAGAAATGTGCATTCTTGCTTCCCTCAAGGCCCGTGCACCAAAGGCTCTTTGGGGGTCTCAGCAATCTGTATTTTCCATGAACAATAAAATTTTAAAGCCACTGCTTTAAGGCATGGATTTCCCCTAACTGCACCTATTCCTCTGAAAACAAAACAGAACCCCCAGCATCTTACTCCCAGGTTCCGTGTTCAGAGCACTCCCACCGTCTGACTTTTTCAGCTGTTTTTTTTTTTTTTTTTTTGCTCTTCCTGACTCTTCTTCCCACCTGTCCTCACACATGGTTTAAGAAAGCGTAAAAGTCACTCCCAATTAGTTTCCCTTTTCTCCGCTCTGTGCCTCAGTTTCCTCATATGGAAAATGTGGATAATATTAATCGAACACATCTCAGTGAAATTTAAGAGGATTAAATGGTTTAATATGTGTCAAGTTCTTACAACTCTGATGCAGTACAAGCAATATCTAATTTTAGAGACTACTTGTGATAGAATTGTAATATTTTATCAAGGACCAATAAGTAGGGTTAGCTTGGAAGGTAAGAATTTTAAATATCTGAAAGAATTTTCAAGAGATCAGAAAGTTGTCATTAACCTTCCTTAACTTGCCTCCTGGGTCTCCCTTACTTAACATCAAAAATGCCCTCCTCTGTGCTTCTTGTTAATGAGGGTCGGGACATTGCCATGAACAGCAGGGAAGGAGCCTGAGTTTGGAAGAAGACTTAAGCAGACTTTTAAAGTCCTTCGCTGAGTTCTTTCTCCTGCTGTTTAGGAGACCTTGGAAGGGCCCTATGATGAGAGAAGAAAGTATGAAGCCATGAAACTGCTTTCTTCTCAAGCACATGATGAAAACAACTGTCCTCAACAAATGTCATCCTTCCACCAAGTTTCTTATTTGTCTATTGGGTTCTGGGAACTGTACAAACTTTGTGAACCATCTTTGCCCATTTAGAGAGATGGCTTTTACACAGCTAGTCTTTTCTATGTGCACTCTATGCCCATGAATGAGGCCCAGGTCCAAGAGCAAGAACACTGGACTGTGGTCATCCTGGTCGTCTGTCTGGGGCTTGATTACCCAAGGAGCACCCAGGCTTTCCGGGGAACCGGGAGAGGGTAGATTTGTTACTGATATGTTTCAAGGTCAACCCTTACTAGACCCCGTGGTAATTTTCACTGGCTCCATGAACCCTGAACCTGCAGTGGATAGTCCTATACACGGTCAGTGATATAAGGACAATGATAAGTCAAGATCTCAAATTCCCTAAAGTTGATCTGCTTGCGAAAGTGCCTGGGTTGGATTATAACTCTGCCTCTCCTCTCACTGCCCCAACTTCACGCACCGTCCAGGAGCTGATCTTCCTGTGCTTTCTTTGTCACATGCACCATCCGACTATCATCGAACAGAGCGTCACTCTTGAAGGAGAGCCCCATGAAAGTAAAGCAGAGAAGTACTAAACCCAATGGTGCGTTATTGCATCAGTAATAACTTCATGGCAAAGCCAGTGCATTATTTATCTTGGAATTAGAACTCAGAGATAAGAGACAGAGGGCAGTGCCATTTGGCATATTAAAATAAACAGTTTTAATATTTTGATTTTCCCAACATTTCTGAGTGTACTGGGTTAAGCAAGGTGCTTCTAGTGAAAGAGTAACATCTTTTTAATAGTCTTTTGATACGTTATGATAAAATGTTATTGTATACTTTCCAGATATTGAGAAATGGAATGGATCTAATACTGGGCTATAAACCCCCTTGCCAGTCAGTTATTTTCTAATTCATTGCTTTAAATAAATAGAAACAAGAATTAATTGATTTGTCAGCTGGGAGATGATTAAAATAATTTCAGAAGCTCTATTACAATGTGATTTTTGGCACATATCTTGGAAGGAGTTCAAAGAATTGAGTGGCATTGCTACAAAAAAATTTCATTTCTGTCTTCTTGCTTATATGAACAAGGTTTCTCTAACAGTAAAAATAGGAATAAAATTGATCCTGAACTCTATCTCATTCTAGTGGTAAATGATATTTATCCATGGTATTAAAAAAAAAGCCTCATCCATCAAATTAAGAGCTGTATTTCCAGTAAAAGTTTGCTTTTTATGTTTAATTATTACTTAACAAAATGTGCAATATATTTATGTTGTTTTATCAATTTTATGTTTGTAATGTAATTCATTTTATTAAAAAATATTATATAGAGTTTTATGGTCATAGGGTATAAAAGAAATTTAAATTTCAATATATAGAGAGAGTTGCAAATAAATATGATAGGTGATCAATAAAAGATTTTCAAGCATAACATATATCCTGCAGGGGACATGTAATGAAAATACAAGTTCTAGTTTAAAAAGGACCAGTATACATTTTATTACTTTTAAAGAAGATATTATTCATGAATTTTGAAAATGGACAATCACAAGTATCAATCACTGTGGTATTTAAATTCCATTCAATATAAACATATATATATAAAAATTCTGTGACTTTTTATTTTGAAATGTGACTATTTTCTATAGACCAAAAATGCATCATTTGCCACTATAGCTTAAATAATTTTTTTATGTCAACTTAAAAATGTGGGTTATATAACGGACCAAAATTAAAGCAAGAATATTTCTTTGCACTTAGTTATCTGGGCTGTGTGGTCCCAGGGACTAGAAGACGATCCCCCAGCTCTGTCTCGATTTACCATCCACTTCCAGGCTTATTGACTCCTGCAATTATACTATGAGAACTTCATTCTTTAGGAGGAGTTACTTAAACAGGGATTTGGCCTTTATGAAAATACAACCATCATTAGAAAGTGTTGCACATTAGTCCTTATCAGTCATTTACAACTGAGAGTGAATGAATTTATCATATTTCTTCCCTAAAGAATGCTTTTGAAAGTAGGAAGCAGGAAGGGTCCATTAGGGTTTTAATCTTCATAAAGGAAATGGAAAATTGCTATAAAATGAAGAAAACTGAACAGAAAAAGAAAGCAGATACTCTAGAATGTGGAGGAGATAGCATGACTGCAGTTTTTCTTGATATCCATGATATATCTACTGAGATGGGAAATAATCCTTTAATGGTACCTAAATATTCAGCCCTAACGATGCATGCAGTTGGGCCCCCAAAACTCATCTCACAGATCTTAGACTTACCCAGGAATGACACAGAATTAGATCCGTAACTACTGTGTGCAGGACACCTGTGGTCAAGTGAAAAAGAAAGTTTCATAGGCATGCTAGAGTGCAATTCTATTTCAGGTAGAAACTGATCACCACAAGCTTTACCCAAGTGAGTACAGGTGTGTAAGGAGTAAGATGCAGAAGCAGAAGGCACAGGCTGTTACTGAAGGCGCATCGGGCACTGGGAGTTGGGGAGTAGTGATTAGCTGACCTCTGTGACCTTTGTATTATTCACTTTGCATCACATGTAAAAACAGGCTTTTTTCTAGTTTGAAAACTTTTCTAGTTTGAAAAATAGAACGAGCAAATAAAGGAAATTTAGAAAAGAATAAGCTCTTCCCACCATAGTGTGAAATCGCCTACTGACACCCCACCCGCCCTGCTGCACGGCGGCTGAATGGCAGGTGGGACAGCACGTGGAAAGGCACCTCGGCTGGACACGGGTCGTCCAGTCATGGACACTAGTCCAGTCCGCTAGTGTTGTTTTATTCCTCCTGCCAACCAGGGAGAGAACCTTCCTAGATTGCGTGACTTCCCTTTTCAAGGGGGCTGTTGTTTTGGTGCTGAGACCTTGGGCCGTTCAAGTTATGTGAGTGCGGTCACCTTGCCAGTGCCTGGTCTCTCCGCCCCAGCCCGTGTCCTTCCATCCCCCGAACCCTGAGGGGTCTCTGGTGCCAGCCCAATGTTAGGGAGGGAAGGCCATGCTCATCCCCTGTGCTCTCCTGCCCTGGGGGTGCTGGACTCATGTCCCTCTTCTCCCCGCTAGAACATCAGCAGGGCCGGTTGTTGTTGCACATTCCCGTGTGTGGCATCGAGTGGTGGGTGGGCGCCCACGTTTACATAGGGTTCTGCCTCCTCATGCTCCCATTCCCACGTTCCAAGTCGCTAGGACACACGTGCAAAGGTGCAGCACGCTACGTCTGCATTAGGCCTGATAGTCTGCGGGTCACGCACGCCAGCTAGTGGGCTCCGTTTGTGTTCATCGTCCGGAATTGTCGAGGCGACGACTGAGAGCTGGCGGTCAGCTCTCTGCGTTGACGGTAGCATTGTTCCCGCTCCCAGCGGGGCACGCGAGCTTAGGAGGAAGAGGACTCTGCTGATAATTTTCTTCTTCCCTCTCCCGAAACCCTAAAGGCAGCGTGACTTCCGCAGAAACTGTTGGCTTTCTAAGGTGAATTTCACCAACCCATGTTATAAATTGCAGTTTGCAGGCTTTGGGCTGCTTAGCGGTATAAGGAGATTATCAACACCAGGGAGGTCTGGAGGTAAATATGTTCAATTTTTGATTAACTACAAGTTAAGTATTTGCCTTGTGGATTATCTGTGACCTATTTGAAATACTGATCCCTTTTCTCTCCCCTTCCTCCCTGGGCCACTTCTCACACAAGGTGGTAAATGTGCTCAAGAAACATAAACTGATTTCCATATAAGCCTAGAGGGAAAAAATAAGAAGGAAGGCAAATGTACAGCAAAGATGTTCACAGAATATTCTTCTGTATCAAGTAGAAGTGAGTTTGTAGCGTTGGTTCTCCAAGATGACTCAGGCCACTCTTACTTTGCACGGGGGAAATTTGCTTCAACAGTTGATTGTTTCCTTTTAGTGCTGTGTCCTGTTGTTTCAATTACTCCTCGACATGCAACGGCATGTTTATAACATAACTTTTTCCTCTCTCTCTTCCTTCCTCTTCCCTCCCCCTGCCCCCGCTCACCGCTCACAGGTGTACCATAGATGACCGGGTCACGCGGGTGGCCTGGCTAAACCGCAGCACCATCCTCTATGCGGGGAACGACAAGTGGTCCATAGACCCTCGCGTGATTATCCTGGTCAACACACCAACCCAGTACAGCATCATGATCCAAAACGTGGATGTGTATGACGAAGGTCCATACACCTGCTCTGTGCAGACAGACAATCATCCCAAAACCTCCCGGGTCCACCTCATAGTGCAAGGTAAGTCACAGCTGAACCTGGGGCTGGCATTCCTGTTTTACTCGTGTATGAAGACACAAAAGTCATTTTCCTCTATTAAATCCAGCGATTGACTGTGTGTCTTACCCATCTTTGGGGCTCTTAACTAAGTACTGAATATTTCCCAAAGTTTCTCAATTTTATCTCTAGTCCTTCTGTTCTCGTCAATAAGTTGTTTGCCATGTGCTGGTTTAGTTCTCTTAAGTTACTTAGTGCTCTGGAGTGGGAGCGAGATATATTCAAACATAGATGCTAATAATACAGGGCTACTCCCAGTGCCTTTTAATTCTTTTACAGCTTTATTGTATAATAAAGACTAATAATAAGATGTGAGCTCATGTGACTTAACTATTTTTCATAGTTGCTGGTAGTACGTGTTCTGGAAGGGTCTCTGAGTGCGGCTTGGTCAGACCCACCCTGGTGTCACTGCTGTGTTTATACACTTTCTCTCAGCCCCACAAGGGCCCCTGGGCCCCAGAGGGTATTGGTCAGAATGATTTCTCCAGGTCAGTGTTGGAAATCAATTCTGATCATTTAAAAAAGGAGGGGAGGGAAGAAAGCCTTAACACTCTCTCTCATTCTTTTAAAAATTTGAATCAGTATAGCACAGGAATAGCATCACATGTACATTTTTAAATAGTTTTTAATTTAAATTTCACAATGTATCTAAAAAAATGGGGCTGAAGAAATACCAGAATTTCAGACATCAGATATTAAATATTAAGGATTAAAAACACATGCAGGTAGCAGTTGTAAGACTCTGAGGGTCATTTTAACAACGCAGCAATCCAAATGAATTTATTTTGAACCGATCCCAACTGCCACCACTACGTAAGCCAGTTCTGGCAGGTAGTGGCTCAGAGTGGGAGTGAAGTTCTAAGCAGACTAGTCCATCACCCAAGGACACATCCTTCCTCCACCAAATAAGAGGTTTAGGTGGCAGTCTCTCAGAGTCTCCTCTGCTGACATCTTGGGGACATACACTGAGCTCTCAGAAAGGGTCCCTGTTTATGATTTGGTCTTTAGCAACTGACTTTTATCAGATCCCATCTGCCATAGCTTTTTTTCAGTTTGTGAAATGTGTAAGCATCCTTGCTTAGCTGAGATAGATTTCTTCATCTCTGCTTTTTTCTTAAAAAAAAAAAAATGAGGTTGCTCATTTCAGTCGATGTCCCGGAGAGAAGCTGAGTGGGGTTAGTGTCTATTCATGGTTCAGTCCCGTGTACATCTCAGGATGCTCATTCCTTCCCTTTGGCTCGAGCAGCTCTTTGCTCGCACAGCATCCAGGCCTGCCTCTGTAGGCCATTTGTAATGGCCTGTGTAGGGCCAGAGATCTGTCTGCTGCAACTTCTGTTCCCCAGCAGTCCCTGGCAGTCCCTGGCCCTGCCACGCTGCTGGAAGCTTCACTCTGCCCAGCCTTCCAGCCCTCCTCCCATCCCCACGTGTTTTCAGGTGCTCACGTGAGCCTGCCATACAACAGACGTCTGTGGACGCTGCCGGTTTCCATTCTCCATACACGTCCCACCCACTGCTTTGGAGCTACAAGGCTGCCTGCCATCTGAGACCAAGACAACTGTCACATCTGATACTTCTCCTCAGGAGGGTGGAGGCACTCAGGAAGATCCGTCATTGGAGATGAGCTGGGATATCTGTTGAAAGTTTCTGGGCGTGTAGAAAACAAGGAGGTGCGCATTCTCACTGCCCCACCTGCCACCTGGGCTTGGTTCCAGAGGAGCTGGAATTCACAGCATTGGAAGTGACACCTCAGTGGTGCCTCTGTGGCCTTGCAATTCAGGAAATACAGCACTGAAATAAAAAAAGAACTGACAGGGACTGTACAGGAACAGACTCAAACCAAACAAACCTACCCCTTTTCAGGAAACGAGACAGGCTGTGGCAGTGGGTCAGGGTCACTACAGGCCACACTGCGCTCGGGGGCAGAGATGCAGGGGATGCGGTTCTTCACGGTCCACTCTGAGACAGCTCTTGGGCAGGACGTGGAGGACTACGGGGTCTTCCTACGGGCCTCCGAGCGAGGGAGACACACAGCACTGGTGTCTTCTATTCCGGGGGTCAGCCCCGCAGTCTCCACGCTCCAGGCCCAGTGACTCTGTGGCTCTGGCCCTCGGAGGTGTCCTGGGAAACCCACAAGCAAACAGTCAGGGCAGGCGGAGGTGGAAGGGGAGGAACTCCTGGTGCAGCTGGCAGGCCGGTCGTTACATTTACTGAGCAGCTGCAGAGAAGGAGGCCAGGGAGCTGCATCTCTCCCCTTGCTTAGCAATGTGGCATCTGGTCCTCTTTTTGGGCACCAGTTGAATCACCAGGGGGTGGATGCAGAGACCCCACTGCTCAATTAGAAAGAAGCCCTAGAGTCCTCCTCCTTCCCAGCAGCTATCGGCTTTTGTCCAGTCTATAGATTAATTTTTCAGACTTAGTGTTAGTTCAGGTTAGATAAAGATAATGAAAGTTTCCTAATCCTCTTAAAGAAGATTTATCTGACTGAGTAGAAAGCTTTTGGAAGACAATAAGGCATGTATAAAACTGAGGCCTAATCTCGCCTTTAATTTCAAACTGCTGATGGGTATTGATTTTGCAATGAGAAAAACTGAAAAATTTCCGAGCTGCAACTTGTCTGTTTAGAAAAACAAAATGGTGTTTATTTATCTTCCGTCCATGTGGGGATGTTGGTATCTCATTCTGCCAGCCAGATGTCATCAGCAGGCGAGGGAGCAGTCCCCGGGGCCCGCTTTGCTGTCCCTTCTGCAGGGAGGGACTGGGACGGTCCCCACTAACCCCAGCGCCTGCCCCGTACTGCTGGGGAAGGCAGCCGTTCCCACGCATCTGATGGAACTAATTTCCAGATCCTTCTCTTTGAAAGAAGGAGCTGCCTTCATTAAAATTGTGTCACTGATACGCGAGGTACATCTTAGCCACTGAGGGATCATTTCAAGGCAGCATGTGAGCACGTGTGATAATGTACTCTAGACTGAATCCTCCGTGTTAAGGAGTCCCAGGGCCCGGGGAAGTGCCGCTGTGGGGTCCCATTAGTCAGGGTAGGAAAATCGGTCCGGCAGCCCTGCAGCAGGTGAGCCGGAGTGCAGAGTAGCCCCAGGCACAGCACGAGGTCGCGCTCATCGCCCTGGCGGGGTGGCGAGGGAGACCGTGGGCCCACCTGTGGAGACGCAGAAGTGCCTGAGACATCGTCCAGGGGAAACTGAGAGCATTCATTCTAATGCCTTGAGAGAGGAAGAATTAAAAGGATATCACCCATATCTTTGAGTCTGGGGAGATGTTGGTGGCCTTGCTAGTCATTGGGGAGGTAATATCCGGTTCCACTCAGAGAGAAAAGCTTTAAGCCTAGTAGGTTCAGAGATAAAGAAAACACAAACGTTAAACACATATTATAGAACTAGGGAACAGGTATAGCTTAACACCAGAAAGGGTATATTTGAGATTCAGCATGAATTTACTAACTTGAGAGTAGGTAAGTTTTCTGAGGTTAACCATTCTTCGAGAACAACAAGACTCATAATTTATTCATATCCGTCCTCAGCACTTAGCACACTGTCTGGGGCGTAGTAGGCACTCAGCCGTGTTTGTAAAATGCACAGGAACAGACTGACGCAGCAACTCAGCGGCGTAGGAATGCAGGTGTCATGAAGCCTCTTTGAGCAGATAGCAACAGGGAAAGAGTCAGACACTGTCCCGAGGACTTGCAGGGGACACGCCCTGGAGGGAAGAGGGTCTTTGGGGTGACAAGCTAAGAGATGTGCTGTAACAGGGTTGACACAAATTCTACGCATTTATGTAGTGCTTTACAGAGATGGCCATAATCTTTGTCTCATCTGACCCTCAGAACCAGCCCTGGGAGGCTATTGCAGTGCAGTGACTGTCATCTGCATTTGTAAATTAGATAACTGCAGCTCATGGAGGTTAAGAGACCGGCCAGTGTCCCCAGTGAGTAAGTAGCAGAGTTGGGTCTTGACCTATGGCCACAGGACTCCAAGATTAGCATCCTTCCGGCATATTCCAATGCCTCTACTGCCACTGATGTCCAAACTCATTTCTCCGCTCTAGATCAACGGGAAATTTCCAGGTTTCTTGGAGTGTTTTTTTTTTTTTCATTTGTTCTTCTTTTTCCTGCTACTGATATTGCATTATACCAGCAGAAATGGAAGACAAAGCTCAAGACAGAAAATTAGCAGGGGGGGGGGACACCAAAGCTACAATAAATGGTGTAGAGAGGCAGAGAGAAGAAGCAGAGAAGAAGATAATTAATTTTCTAGCAGCTCATCCCTCCAGGGATACACATTTTAAATGTTACCACTTTATCCTATGTAAGTACTGAAAACCCTGGCCCCTTTGAGAATCCAGGATCTAATTTTCATTCTAATTATCATTAACTCTTCAACATTCTGAAACTACACTGAGATCCATGTTTGCCTGTGCTGTGTTGCAGTTTGCTAGGGACAGAGGGAGTGGGAAGAGCTGGTCTGTCTTCGCTTCTTGGATGTTGTTATTCTCTACCTGCTCTCTTGACTAGTTTAAAAATATGTTTACTATAAAGTGCTTCCTTTCATGGAATGAACTGCTCTTGCTAGGCCATTTTATGCAGAAGGCTGGAAATGATGAATTTTGTTAAATTCTCACATATGAGACTCCACAGTAAGCTTATGCAATTTCCATGTAAACAAAAGACTTTGGGTCTTTTAGCCTGGAGTCAGTTCAGGTGAAACTGGTTGGTATCCAAAATTGAGTTTCCCATGTAAAGAAGTATGATTTCCAAACCAGCCCAATCGTAGATTTTGCTAAGCACCAGCCAACCTCAGAATCAGACACATTTAAGTAAAAACCTTATCTCCATCATTCCTTATATCTACCCTACAACATATACATCACAGTCACATTTACAAATGAAGAAACTGAGGCTTACAAAGATCAATGACTTATGCTAAGATGATGGAACTACTATGTGCTTTAAC